GCCGGTTCGGTGACAGTGACGCATCACTTTGGGGGGGCCGTTTTTGGGGTGTCCCCCCCGGGGGAAGGCGTCAAAAATAAGCCTGAAGCTCCCAGCCCGTTTCCCCCCCCCCAAAAACCTCCCCGAAGCGAGACCCCCACCCAGAATTCTCTCGCGCCGCCCCCGCCCCGGTTCAACGGGGGAGCCCTTACCGGGAATCACTCCCAGTCCATCCTCGGCCCGGCCCGGTCGCTGAGAGGGGGAGGGAGCCGGGAGCTGCTGTGGGGGGGAATTGGGGAGGGGGGTGTGAAATTCCGGGGGGTTTGGGGGGTCCCGTGTGAGCGGCTGAATGACTGGGGGGGGCTGATCCCAAAAAGGGATCCCCCAAACCGCAGCGTGAGGGATCTTAAGGGTGGGAAGTGACAGCCCAAAATCGCTATAAAACGTGAAAAAATGGCAATAGAGAAAAATGCGCTGGGGAAGCGATGAGGAGACCCCCAAATCCTACAGGATTTGTAAAAGGGACGGGGTACTGAATCCCGGGGGGCTGCGGGAAGCACGGCCGAGAGGATGGGGAGGGGGGGGCCGCTAAAGGGGCTCCCCAAATGTCGGGAAAGCGCTGAGGGGGACCCTGAGTGATGGGAGGGGACTGCGGGGGAGCGGAAATGAGGCTGGGGTCCCTAAATAATGCGAACCACAAAAAGCGCTCGTAAAATACGGAGCAACCCTAAAGACGTGAGAAAGCTAAATTAAGGTGGGGGGGCAGCCAAACACCCCAAATCTCGGAGGGGAGCGCCTCAGTCCCCGCAAGGGAAGGCCGTACCGGGGGAGGCGGCGGGGGTCGGGGGAAGGGAGGCCGTGAGAGAAGGAAAGGAGCCCCCAAATCACGGGAGGCCGCCGGGGAGTGGGGGGGCGGTGGGAGGGGGGGGCGGGCCCCTCATGACGGAGCCGGGCGCCAATCTTCCCATGCCGCGGGCCCCGCAGCGGCACCGGGCCGAGCCCCCCGCCCCGCCGGCCCCGGTACCTTGAGCGGGCGGGGAGAGCGGGGGGGGGGGAATCAGAGCCCGGCCCGGGCCCGTCCCGCCGCTGCCGCCGCCGCCATCTTACACTGAGCCCCGGCCGCGGCCCGAGATCCCGCGAGAGCCGCCGCAAATCCCGCGAGAGCGGCCGGCGGGACGGGAGGAGGCGGTGCCGTGGGGCGAACAGGAGGCGGGCCAATGCTGCCGGCAGCCAATGGGAACGCGAGAGGAGCGGCAGCCAAGTCTCGCGAGAGCGCGCCCAGCTGCGGGGCGGGAGTTTGACGAAGCCTCGCGAGATTTCGTGAGGAGTATGGGGGAGGGGAGGCGGTCCCTCACGGATCCCGCCTCATACCGGGACAATCGGGGGGGGGGGCTGACGGTGAAGGGGGGGAAGGCCCTGCCCGCCACAGAGCGGTTCACCCCCCCCGCTCCCCTCGCAGGCCGAGGGCCCCACGCCGTTCCCTCAAGCACCGGCACTCACCGGCACGCTGATGAGAGCGAGATCTCGCGAGGCGCTGGCGGCAGCGCGGCCCCGAAGCCTCGCGAGAGGCGCGCGGAAAGAGAGAGAGAAGCGAGGGCGGCCCCGGGAGAGCGGCCCCGGGCGGGAGGGGGAGGGAGGGCGGGGGGAGCGCGGCCGCTGCCTCAGCGGCGGGAACGGCGGCGGCGCGCGCGGCTCTCGCGAGAGCGCCGGCTGAGCGCGGCTCCCAGATCTCGCGAGAGTGGAGGTCGCCCTCTTCGTCTGGAGGGCAAGATCTCGGGAGAGCGCTGGCGGAGGGAAGCGCGAGGTCTCGCGAGAGCTGCCGGGCGGGAAGTGCTGAGGGAGGATCACGTGACCCCGCCAGGGGCATTTTTCACCAATTCCGGGATTTTTTTTCTTTTTTTTTTTTTCCTTTTTTATTCTACAAATACAAAAGGAGGGGGGCGGGGCCGCGGCCTCCGGACACGCCTACAAAACAGGGGCAGCCAATGGGAAGCAGCCCCGCCCCGTCAATCAACCTGAAGACACCTAGGGGAGGGGTGAAAAAAAAAAACCCAGTGGAGACCAATCAAAGATGGCTCCGCCCCTCCCGCAGCTGTGGGCGGGGCTTGTCCAATCGCCTGAGCTCCTGGAGGCGGGAAATGAGGAAGCCCCGCCCCCAGCCCATACACAGCCAATGGGAAGGTGGGAACCGTGATGGGCGGAGCCATATTGCGGCTCCACCCTTTGTGGGCGTGGTTATCTCTATGTGGGTGTGGTTTATCGTAGCCACGCCTGTTTTTTTTACCCTACATAACCAATGAGCGTGGCTTGGGCTGTGATGGGCGTGGTCTCGGGATCCGCATTGTGGGTGTGGCCTCAGAGGGGTCAGGTGGGACCACACCTGAAGGGGCGGAGCCTAAAACAAGCCACGCCCCTTTAGTGACCACAGCGTTGTTCTGACAGGCGTGGTCCTGTCGGGCCCCGCCCCTTTCCTCGGCAGCCCCGCCCATAGTTCATTGTTCAGCCGGCGGTGGGCGGAGCCTGGCAGGGCGTGGCCGGCCCCGCCCTCAGAGCAGCAGTTTCCCGTTGCGGTGGATCTTGAGGATGCGGCCCAGGCGCTGCTTGGCTGTGGCCAAACCCTTCCGGGGGCGCTTCCCTGCGGGGTCAGGGGGACAGAGAGCCCTGAGCCCCCCCGAACCCAGCCCGGAGCCCCCCAGACCCACAGCAACTTCCCAGTTGCTCCCAGTGCTCCCAGTTCACCTGCTGGGCCAGTTTGGCAGCGGCTGCCGCCAGCCCGGTCTCCACCGAGGCCACGCGCGTCCCCTCCCGCACCGGGCGGCTCTGCCGGGGCAGCGACGGCGTCACCCGGGCTGGGGACACCCCAAAGTCAGACAGGAACAGAGGGGGACACCCCAAAATCAGACATGGAACAGGGGGAGCACCCCAAAATCAGATACCAAATCAGGGGAGACCCCAAAATCAGAGTGCAGCAAAGGGGGACACCCCAAAATCAGACAGGGAATGGGGACACCCCAGCATCAGATACCAAAACAGGGGACACCCCAAAATCAGAGTGCAGCAAAGGGGGACACCCCAAAATCAGACAGGGAATGGGGACACCCCAGCATCAGATACCAAAACAGGGGACACCCCAAAATCAGAGTGCAGCAAAGGGGGACACCCCAAAATCAGACAGGGAATGGGGGGAACACCCCAAATTCAGACGTAGAATGGGGGGACGCCACAAAATCAGAGCATGGAACAGGGGAACACCCCAAAATCAGACAGGGAATGGGGGGACACCCCAAAATCAGAGAGAGAATAAAATGGGACACCCCAAAGTCAGAGTACAGCAAAGGGAGACTCCCCAAAATCAGACATGGAACAGGGGGAGCACCCCAAAATCAGAGCACAAATAAAGGGGGACACCCCAAAACCAGAGCATGGAATAGGGGGACTCCCCAAAATGAGATATAGAACGGGGGGACACCCCAAAATCAGACAGGGAACAGGGCACACCCCAAAATCAGTCAGAGAATAAAGTGGAACACCCCAAAATCAGGGAACAGGGGGAGCACCCCAAAATCAGACAGGGAATGGGGGGACACCCCAAAATCAGAGCACAAATAAAGGGGGACACCCCAAAATCAGACAGGGAACAGGGGACACCCCAAAATCAGACATGCAATGGGGAACACCCCAAAATCAGACCCCAAACAAGGCAGGGGGGACCCCATATCAGCCCCTGCCCCAAAGGAGGGGGACTGGGGATCCCCAGGGACCCCAAATCCCACCCAGGGACCCCAAATCCCACCCGAGGCCCCTCAAATCCCCCAAACCTCTCAAAACTCACCCCAAACCACCCAGGCCCTGCTCCAGGGACCCCCAAACCCCCCCCCAAGGACCCCCCCAAACCTTTGGGGCTCCAGGGGGCGTCGTCCGTCACCTTCTTCTTTTTGGGGAGCGATTTTAGGGCAGGGTCGTCCTCATCTGACTCCAGTGAGGGATAAACTGGGTGGGGGGGAGAAAAAATGGGGTTCAGGGGGGTCCTGGGGCTGGTTTTGGGGTGTTATGGGTCATTTTGGGGATGTTTTGGGGTATTTTGGATGTTTAGGGGTGGTTTTAGGGGTATTTTAAGACATTTTTGGAGTATTTTGGGATTTTTTGGTGTGGTTTTGGGGTCCTTTTGGGGTGTTTTGGGGATGTTGGGGGAGATTTTTGGGATGTTTTGGGGTATTTTGGATGTTTAGGGGTGGTTTTAGGGGTATTTTAAGACATTTTTGGAGTATTTTGGGATTTTTTGGTGTGGTTTTGGGGTCCTTTTGGGGTGTTTTGGGGATGTTGGGGGAGATTTTTGGGATGTTTTGGGGTATTTTGGATGTTTAGGAGTGGTTTTAGGGGTATTTGGATGTTTGGGTTTGGAGTATTTGGGGGGTTTTGGTGTGTTTTTGGAGTACTTGTGGGTGTTTTGGGGATGTTTGGGGAGATTTTAGGGAATTTTTGGGGATACCCACAGGACACAAATCCAGAATGATTTCACCATAGGCTGAGGGTGTTTTTGGGGGATTTTTGGGACATTTTTGGGGTAACACTCGCTGTACTCAGCATCCTTGGAGTATTTTTAGGGGGTTTTTGGGGTATTTTTAGGATGTTTTTGGGGTGACACTCACTGTACTGAGCATCCTTGAAGCAGGGTGTTTTGGGGAGGTTTTGGAGTATTTTTTGGGGTATTTTAGGATGGTTTTGGGGTCACGCTCGCTGTACTCAGAATCCTTGAAGCAGGGTGCTCTAGCGATGTTTTTGGGGTATTTTGGATGTTTAGGAGTGGTTTTAGGGGTATTTGGATGTTTGGGTTTGGAGTATTTGGGGGGTTTTGGTGTGTTTTTGGAGTACTTGTGGGTGTTTTGGGGATGTTTGGGGAGATTTTAGGGAATTTTTGGGGATACCCACAGGACACAAATCCAGAATGATTTCACCATAGGCTGAGGGTGTTTTTGGGGTATTTTTGGGACATTTTTGGGGTCACACTCACTGTACTCAGCATCCTTGAAGTAGAGTATTTTTAGGGGGTTTTTGGGGTGACACTCACTGTACTTGACAACCTTGAAACAAGGTGCTTTGAAGGGATTTTTGGGGTGGTTTTTGGATGTTTTTGGGTCACACTCACTGTACTCAGCATCCTTGAAGCAGGGTGCTTTGGGGGGAATTGTGGGGCTGGTTTTGGGGTATTTTGGGGTGGTTTTGAGGTGACACCCACTGTACTCAGCATCCTTGAAGCAGGGTGCTTTGGGGGAATTTTGGGGCTGATTTTTGGGGTATTGTGGGGTGGTTTTGGGGTGACACTCACTGTACTCAGCATCCTTGAAACAGGGTGCTTTGAGGGTATTTTTGGGGTGGTTTTTGGGATGGTTTTTGGGTATTTTATGGTCACATTTGTTATACTCAGCATCTTCAAAGCAAAGTGCTTTGGGGGGATTTTGGGGCTGTTTTTGGGGTATTTTAGGATGGTTTTGGGGTCACATTCACTGTATTCAGCATCTCTGAAGCAGACTGCTTTGGGGAGATTTTTGGGCTATTTTTGGGGTATTTTGAGGTATTTTTAAGGTCACACTCACTGTACTCAGCATCCTTGAAGCAGGGTGCTTTGGGGAGATTTTGAAGTATTTTTGGGGTACTTTTAGGATGGTTTTGGGGTGACACTCACTGTACTCAGCATCCTTGAAGCAGGGTGCTTTGAGGGTATTTTTGGGGCTGTTTTTGGGGTGTTTTGGGGTCACACTCACTGTACTCAGCATCTTTGAAGCAGACTGCTTTTGAGGAGGTTTTTGGGGTATTTTTTGGGGTATTTTTGGGGTATTTTGAAAGTCACACTCACTGTACTCAGCATCTTGAAGCAGGGTGCTTTGTGGAGGTTTTTGGGGGTATTTTTAGGATGGTTTTGGGGTCACACTCACTGTACTCAGCATCCTTGAAGCAGGGTGCTTTGTGGAGGTTTTTGGGGGTATTTTTAGGACGGTTTTGGGGTCACACTCACTGTACTCAGCATCCTTGAAGCAGGCCCCCAGGCTGTCCTGCTCGTCCAGGCTCCCCTCGCCCTCGCTGTCGGTGCTCCGGGGGGCTGGGGGGGCTCTGCGGGGCCCCCCAGACCCCCCAGGACCCCCCCTTTCGGTGCCCCCACCTCCTCCCCACCAGTTTGGGGGTCCCAGGGGGGTCCCTGCAGGGAGGTTGGCCATGCAGAGCATGCCCTGGATGGCCTCGCGTGTGCTGGGGGAGGCGGGGGCCTCGCTGTGGGGGAAAAGAGAGAAAAAAGGGGGAAAATTGGGGTTTGGGGGGGTGTCACGGCATGTTTGGGATCCTCACACTGAGGAGAGACAGCCCCAAAAGGAGATGGAGAGGGGCAAAGTGAGCCCAGCCACGGAACCGATCCCGGTGTTCCAACCCAGGACCCCAAATAACCCCAAAACCCCAACGTCTAACCCCAAATAACCCCCATAACCCCAAAACCCAACCTGGGACCCCAAATAATCCCAAAACCCAACCCAGGACCCCAAATAACCCCAAAACCCCAACGTCTAACCCCAAATAACCCCCATAACCCCAAAACCCAACCTGGGACCCCAAATAACCCCAAAACCCCAATGCCTGGCCCCAAATAACCCCCGGGGACGCCCCCAAACCAAACCCCAGCCTTCCCAAAAACACCTGGTGACCCCCCCAGCGATCTGGGGCTCCCCAAAACCAGCCCAGCCCCCCCTCAGAGCCCCCCAGGACCCCAAAACCCAACCCCAGCCCTCCCCAAACACTTGGGGACCCCTAAACCCCCCCTCAAATCCCGCCCAGTTTCCACTCAAAGCCCTCTGTGACCCCCAAAACCTAATCCATGACCCCAAATAATCCCCAGGGACCCCCAAAACCTGACCCCAGCCCCACAACTGCCCCCAAAAATCCCCCCAGGGATCCCCCCCAGGACCCCTCAAACCCAGCCCCCCCTCAGGCCCCCCCAAACCTGAGCTGGGGGTACTCGGAGCCCCCCACTTGCCGGCTGGCCTTGAGCAGGTCCAGGATCCCAGCGCTGCCCCCCGCGCCCCCCTCGTCCTCCTCGTCCGTGGTGTAATCCTCCTGGGGATCAGGGGGTCAGAAACACCCCAAAAATACCCCAAAATACCCCAAAAATACCCCAAAAACCGCCTCAGTCCGTGGTGTAATCCTCCTGGGGATCAGGGGGTCAGAAACACCCCAAAAATACCCCAAAATACCCCAAAAATACCCCAAAAACCGCCTCAGTCCGTGGTGTAATCCTCCTGGGGATCAGGGGGTCAGAAACACCCCAAAATACCCAAAAAATACCCCAAAAACCACCCCAAAACCACTCCAAAATACCCCCAAAACCACCCCAGTGTAATCCTCCTGGGGCAGGGGGTCAGAAACGCCCCCTCAATCCCCATGTTTGGGGTGTACCCCCAAAACCCCCATGAACCCCCCTAAGAACCCCCCAGGACACCCCAATTCCCTTAGCCCCCCCCCAAACCCCCCCAGAGACCCCAAAACCCCCCAGACCCACCTCGATGTCGAAGTCGACCTCCCCCGGCTCCCGCACCCGGTTGGGGTCAGAGCAGGGCTTGGCCCGGGGCAGCTTCCGGGGGAGCCCTGGGGACACCCCAAAAACGGGATTGGGGTCACCCCAAAACGGGACTGGGGTCAACCCAAAATGGGGATTGGGGTCACCCCAAAAACAGGATTGGGGACACCCCAAAACTGGATTGGGGTCACCCCAAAAACGGGATTGGGGTCAGACCCCGAAGTAGGGATTGGGGTCACCCCAAAACTGGATTGGGGTCACCCCAAAAACGGGATTGGGGATTGGGGTCACCCCAGAAACAGAACTGGGGTCACCCCAAAACTGGATTGGGGTCACCCCAAAAACAGAACTGGGGTCACCCCAAAATGGGGATTGGGGTCAGACCCCAAAATCGGATTGGAAATTGGGGACACCCCAAAAACGGGATTGGGGTCACCCCAAAAACAGGATTGGAGTCAGATCCCAGAAATGAAGGTTTGAGGGGGCGGGGGTCAGCTTTGGGGTGTTTTGGGGGGTTGGGGTCAGCTTTGGGGTGTTTTGGGGTGAGGTTTGGCTTGTTTTGGGGGACGTTTTTGGGCTGGCTTTGGGGATATTTGGGGTCATGTTTGGGGAAGTTCTGGGGGATGTTTTGGGGTCAGATTTGGGGGGATTTTAGGGATATTTTGGGTTGTTTTGATGGTTTTTGGGACCATGTTTGGGGATGTTTTTGGGGGTTATTTGGGGATGATTTTGGGGGTGTTTTGGGGATGTTTTCGGGGTACCCACAGGGCGGGCAGTATGGCATTTTTGGGGTCAGGTTTGGGGATGTTTTTGGGGATGTTTTTGGGGGTTATTTGGGGATGATTTTGGGGGTGTTTTGGGGATGTTTTCGGGGTACCCACAGGGCGGGCAGTATGGCATTTTTGGGGTCAGGTTTGGGGATGTTTTTGGGGATGTTTTTGGGGGTGGTTTTAGGGATATTTTGGGTTGTTTTGATGGTTTTTAGGATCACGTTTGGGGATGTTTTGGGAATATTTTTGCGGATATTTTGGGGCTGTTTTGGGGATGTTTTCGGGGTACCCACAGGGCAGGCAGCGTGGCATTTCTGGGGTCAGGTGTGGGGATGTTTTTGGGGGCGGTATGGGGATGATTTTGGGGGTGTTTTGGGGATGTTTTTGGGGATATTTTGGGGATGTTTTCGGGGTACCCACAGGGCGGGCAGTATGGCATTTTTGGAGTCGGGTTTGGGGATGATTTTGGGGATGTTTGGGGATGTTTTTGGGGTACCCATGGGGCAGGCAGTGTGGCATTTTTGGGGTCAGGTTTGGGGATCAGGCCCCCAAAATCCCCTGGAGCTCCCCAATCCCCCCAGGCCCCCAAAATCCCTTTGAACACCCACAAAATCCCTTTGGAGCTCCCAAAATCCCTTTGAGCCCCTCCCAAAATCCCTCTGGAACCCCCCAAATCCCATCAGGATGGACAAAATCCCTCAGGATCCCTCCGAAATCCCCCGGGACCCACCCAAATCCCCTTGGAGCCCCCCAAAATCCCTTTGAACCCCCCCCCAAAACCCCTCTAGATCCCCTCAAACCTCTCGGCGGGTCCAGGCTCGGAAGGCCCCGGTCAGGGCTCGGGCTCCCAGCACCAAATAAGCCGCGGGGTGCCGGCGGTTCTCTCGCAGCCCTGCACCCCAAAATCCCCAAAAACTCCATGTTGGGATGGGAACCACAGAGCCAGAGTGGCAAACTCAGGGGCATCCCAAAAATCGGGATGGGAAACTCAGAGATACCCCAAAAACCCCACATTGGGCTGGGAACCACAGAGCCAGAGTGGGAACCACAGGGACACCCCAAAAATTGGGGACTGAAACCACAAAATCAGCACGGGAAACCCAGGGACACCCCAAAAATTGGGGATTGAAACCACAAAATCAGCACGGGAAACTCAGGGACACCCCAAAAATTGGGGACTGAAACCACAAAATCAGCACGGGAAACCCAGGGACACCCCAAAAATTGGGGACTGAAACCACAAAATCAGCACAGGAAACTCAGGGACACCCCAAAAATTGGGGATTGAAACCACAAAATCAGCACAGGAAACTCAGGGACACCCCAAAAAATGGGATGAGAAACTCAGGGACACCCCAAAAACCACGAATTAGGATGGGAACCAAAAAGCCAGTATAGGAAGCACAGGGACACCCCAAAAATGTGGACAGCAATCTGCCAAACCCCTCTAGGAAAGATTTTGGAGATCGCCAATCTCCCTAGATAGGTTTGGAGCCCCCCCAGATGGGCTTAAACCATCCCAGATGGGTTCCCAGCCCCCCCAAATGGGTTTAGAACCCCCCCAAGATGGGTTTAGAGCCCCTCTGTTGAAATAATAAAAATCCCATAAAATCCCCCCCCAACCCACCGGAGCTGCATGCCAATGTTGAGGCTGTGCAGGAAGTGCCCCCCAAAGGCCAGCGAGTCCACGGGGGTCAGCACGGCGTGGATCCAGCCTGGGGACAGACACGGGCAACTGGGAGAACTGGGAGCACTGGGACAGGCACGGGCAACTGGGAGAACTGGGAGCACTGGGACAGGCACGAGCAGCTGGGGCAACAGAACTGGGAGGGGCCACTGGGAGCACTGGGATCCACTGGGAAAGGAGAGGCTTGTTGGGGATTGTTAAGGAAGTTTTGGGGTTACTGGGAGCTACTGGGAGGCCTTGTCTGACCCCCACCCCCACCAGCAGACACTGGGGGGTGTCCAAGGTCACCAAACCATCACCTGGTGACACAAGTGACACTGGGGTGTGTTGGGGGGGATCTGGCCCTGGCACAGGTGACACTGGGGGTCGCTGTCCATTGCACAAGTCACACAGGTGACACTGAAGGCGTCTGTGCCTTACACAGGTGACACCGCAGGGGCATTTGGGGTCTGGCACTGGTGGCACAGGTGACACTGGGGGTGTCTGTGCCGTACACAAGTGACACTGTAGGTGCATTTGGGGTCTGGCACAGGTACCACAGGTGACACAAACGACACTGGAGATGTCTGTCTCTTGCACAACAGACACTGAGGGTGTGTTTGGGGTCTGGCACTGGTGGCACAGATGACACTGGGGGTCTCCGTGCCTTGCACAGTGGCACAGGTGACACTGGGGGTGTCTGTGCCGTACACAAGTGACACTGTAGGTGCATTTGGGGTCTGGCACAGGTACCACAGGTGACACAAACGACACTGGAGATGTCTGTCTCTTGCACAACAGACACTGAGGGTGTGTTTGGGGTCTGGCACTGGTGGCACAGATGACACTGGGGGTCTCCGTGCCTTGCACAGTGGCACAGGTGACACTGAAGGTGTTTGGGGTCTGGCACAGGTGCCACAGGTGACACAAGTGACACTGGAGGTGTCTGTGCCTTACACAGGTGACACTGCAGTTGCATTTGGGGTCTGGCACAGGTAGCACAGGTGACACTGGGGGTCTCTGTCCCTTGCACAGTGGCACAGGTGACACTGGAGGTGTCTATGCCTTACACAGATGACACTGCAGGTGCATTTGGGGTCTGGCACAGGTGCCACAGGTGACACAAGTGACACTGGAGGTGTCTGTGCCTTACACAGGAGACACTACGGGTGCGTTTGAGGTCTGGCACAGGTGGCACAGGTGACATTGGGGGTCTCTGTCCCTTGCACAGTGCACAGGTGACACTGAAGGTGTCTGTGCCTTACACAGGTGACACCGCAGGTGCATTTGGGGTCTGGCACAGGTGGCACAGGTGACACTGGGGGTCTCTGTCCCTTGCACAGGTCACACAAGTGACACTGAAGGTGTCTGTGCCTTACACAGGTGACACCGCAGGTGCATTTGGGGTCTGGCACAGGTGGCACAGGTGACATTGGGGGTCTCTGTCCCTTGCACAGTGCACAGGTGACACTGAAGGTGTCTGTGCCTTACACAGGTGACACCGCAGGTGCATTTGGGGTCTGGCACAGGTGGCACCGAGGCCGTGCCCAGCTGTCCCCGAGCCCCCCCTCACCTGTGGGGATGAAGAGGGTCTGGCCCTGGCGCAGGTGGCACCGGAAGCACCGATCCACCTGGTCCCCGAAGAAGAGCTCGGGCTGGTTCCGGGAGCTGCTCCAGGCCTCGAACAGCGCCAGGTTGGCGGCCGAGGGACGCGCCAGGTAAAAGATCTGCTCACCCTGGGGCACACGTGAGGGGGGACACGTGGGACAGGTAAGAGAGCCAGGTTTGGTTCCTCCAAAAATCCCCTCTAAAACCCCCAAACCCCCTCTACAACTCCTTAAACCCCCTCAAGACCCCTGAAACACCCCCCTCATACCCTGAGCATGAGGTACCAAGCCAAGGTGCCCCCACAGTTGTTGTACCCCAACACTCCCAGCCCCAATTCCATCCCAAATTCCTTATAACTCTCCCAAAACCCCTCTAACTCACCCCAAACTTCCTCTAAAATTCCCTACATCCCCTCTATGCCCCCCCCCCCAAGCCCCTTCTAGGCCCCCCCAGACCCCCAGCACAAAGTACCAGGCCAAGGTGCCCCCACAATCGATGTGGAAGTCAATGTAACCACACACTCCCAGCCCCTGTTCTCCCAAAAATCCCCCAAACCTCCTCTAACTTCCCCCAAACCCCCTCTAAAAAGCCCCAGTCCCTCCTAAACCCCCTCTACAAGGCCCTAAACCCCCCCAGACCCCTCGAATATCCCTCCTTATACCCCAAGCACGAAGTACCAGCCCGAGGTGTCCTCATAGTTAATGTAGAAGTCACTTTAGCCCAACACCCCTAGCCCTAATTGTCCTAAATTCCGTGTAACTGCCCCCAAATCCCTTATAACTATCTCCAAGTCCTGTATAACTGCCCCAAATCCCCTATAACTGCCCCCAAATCCCCTATAACCCCCTCCACATTCCCTATAATTCTCCCCAAGTCCCCTACAACTGCCCCCAAATCCCCTATAACTATCTCCAAATCCTGTATAACTGCCCCAAATCCCCTACAACTGCCCCCAAATCCTCTAGAACACCCTCCACATTCCCTACAATTCCCCCCAAATCCCCTATAACTCCCCCCAAATCCCCTGTAATTCTCCCCAAATCCCCTACAAGTACCCCCAAATCCCCTGTAACTCCCCCAAATCCCCTATAACTCCCCCCAAATCCCCTACAAAGCCCCCTCGTACCCTGAGCACGTGGTACCAGGCCGAGGTGCCCCCGCAGTCGATGTGGAAGTCGCTGTAGCTGTCCTTGGCCCCCATCAGGCAGAATTTCTGCACGCTCGGCCGCTCCCGCGCCGACTCCCCCGGCCACAGGTTCTCCACCCACGAGAGCTTCCGCACGATCCGCGGCGTCTGCACCAGGTTCGACAGCCTGGGGCACCCCAAAAACGGGGGTCAGGGGCTGGGGAACCCCCCCATGGGGCACGGGGTACCTCAGGGGGGAGAGGATGCAGCGGGGGATGCCAGGGAGGGGCAGGATCTGGGATTTTGGGGCTCCCTGTGGTTGGAAGAGGAGAAAAGGAGGAGGATCTGGGATTTTCGGGGTCCCTGGGGTTGGAAGAGAAGGGAAGGGGGAGGATCTGGCATTTTAGGGGTTCCTGGAGTTGGAGAAAGAGGGAAGGGGGAGGATCCGGGATTTTGGGGCTCCCTGTGCTTGGAAGAGGAGGGAAGGAGGAGGCACTGGGAGCACTGGGGGAACTGGGAGCACTGGCAGCACCAGAAGGAACTCGGAATTACTGGGAGCACTGGGAAAGAACTAGGCAGGACTGGAAGGAACTCGGAATTACTGGGAGCACTGGGAAAGGACTAGGCAGGACTGGGAGGAACTCGGAATTACTGGGAGCACTGGGAAAGGACTAGGCAGGACTGGAAGGAACTGGGAATTACTGGGAGCACTGGGAAAGGACTAGGCAGGACTGGAAGGAACTAGGAATTACTGCGAGCACTGGGAAAGGACTAGGCAGGACTGGGAGGCACTGGGAGCACCAGGACCCACCGCGTGTCCGAGAACTCCAGGCCAGTGACGCTGAGGACGCGCTCGCGCCGGGGTCCCCCCAGGTAGGCCACGAAGTCCCCGAGGCGCATGCGCAGCTCGGCCTGGCGGCCCACGTCCAGCACGGCCACCACCTTGTCAGCTCCTGAGGGCCCCAAAACTGCCTCAGCACCCCAAAAACCCCCCAAAACCTCTCTGTGTGCCCTGAAACTGCCTGAGCATCACAAAACCCCCCCCCCAAACCTCACAGTGCACCCCAAAACTGTCTGAGCGCTACAAAAACGGCTGGGAGATACCAAACCCCCCCCAAATCTCCTTGTGCATCCACAAACCTCCCTAAGCACCCCAAAACCAGCTGGAGGCCCCCCAAAATCCCCCCAAACCTTCCTGAGCACCCCCAAACCTGAATAGGGACCCTCTGGGCCCTCACCTGTCCCTTCAGGTCCCCCCAATACAGTGTAAGAAGCCAACAAGGGAATGTAGTTATAGGGGGGACCTTGACCCTACTGTGGGGTCCTGGGGACTCCCTGACATCCCCAGACCCCTCAGACACCCCCATGCACCCCATACCATGAATGGGGGCCCTCTAGACCCTCACCTGTCCCCCCAAGACCCCCCAGTAGAGTTCAAAAAGTGAATTTATAAGGAGGACCCAGCCCCTGTTGTGGGGTCCTGGGGACCCCCTGATACCCCCAGCCCCTCCAAAAGCTCCCCAGCCCCCCCAAAGTTCCCCAGGCCCCCCCCAGACTGACCGACGTGGTGCAGGACGTCGCGGGGGGTGAAGGACGGCGGGGGCAGGGTCATGCCCAGCCCCTCGTGCCGTGCCACCAGGATGGGCACGCTGAAGCTGTTCTCCTCCAGGTACTCCACGGTCAGCTGGGCCCCGCTGGGCCGCAGCAGCACCTCGTCCGCACTTGGGGGGCAAAGCAGGGGGGTGAGACCCCCGGGAGAGACCCCAGACCCCCTGAACCCCACAGGCACCCCCCAACCCCCACAGGGATCACCTAACTCCCACAGAGATCACCCAACCCCCACAGGGATCATCCCACCCCTGAGCATTTGCTGGGCCGCAGCAGCACCTCGTCCGCACTTGGGGGGCAAAGCAGGGGGGTGAGACCCACCCCCAAAGTGACCCCGGACCCCCACAGGGATCCCCCAACCCCTGAGCATTTGCTGGGCCACAGCAGCACCTCTTCCACAATGCGAGCAGGGCAGGAGGGGTGAGACCCTCAAGAGTGACCCTGGACTCCCACAGGAACCCCCGTCAATCTCTACAGACACCCCCACAACTCCTACAGGGATCCCCCAGTTCCTGTAGGGACCCTCACCCCATTTCCTGGGCCACAGCAGCACCGCGTCTGCACTGAGGGCAGGGCAGGGGGGTGAGACCCCCGAGAGTGACCAACAGCCCCCAGAAATGACCGAGAGCCCCCAGAAGCGACCAACACCCCCCAGGAGTGACCAACATCACCTGGGATTGACCGACAGCCCCCAGAACCCCTGACCAGCCACTGGGTCCCATTGGGACAGCAGCACCTTCCCCGAGCTGGGGGGGCAACAGGGGGGCCCTGGTAACCTCCCAGGACTGACTGACACCCCCCAGGAGTGACCTTTATCTGTGTAAGGGGCACAGCAGGACTGACCCTTACTGAGAGTGACCAACGCTCGGCACTGACCCTTACTCAGCACTGACCCACACCTGGCACTGACCCACACCTGGCACTGACCCACACCTGGCACTGACCCACACCTGGCACTGACCCTTACTCAGCACTGACCCTCACCCAGCCCTGCCCTCACCTGGCACTGACCCACACCTGGCACTGACCCTCACCTGGTACTGACCCTTACTCAGCACTGACCCTCACCCAGCCCTGCCCTCACCTGGCACTGACTCTCACCTGGCACTAACCCTCACCGGGCACTGCCCCTCACCTGGCACTGACCCTTACTCAGCACTGACCCTCACCTGGCACTGACCCACACCTAGCACTGACCCTCACCTGGCACTGACCCTCACCCGGCCCTGCCCTCACCTGGGGAAGGTGCGGCCCCGCAGCTCCCGGATGAACTGGGCGCTGCCGGTCCGGGCTGGACGGCCGGGATCCTGCTCCGGGGCCTTGGCCGGGCCACGGCGCCGCTTCACTGCGGGACAGGGGGACACGGTGGGGACAGGGGGACACGTGGGGACACACAGGGACACGTGGGGACACGCAGGGACAGGGGGACACGGTGGAGACACACAGGGACAGAGGGACGCGGTGAGGACAGGGGGACACGTGGGGACACACAGGGACAGGGGGACATGGTGGAGACACACAGGGACAGAGGGACGCGGTGAGGACAGGGGGACACGGTGGAGACACACAGGGACAGAGGGACGCAGTGAGGACAGGGGGACACGTGGGGACACACAGGGACACGTGGGGACACAGAGAGACATGTGGGGACACGGTGGAGACACACAGGGACAGAGGCACACATGGGGACAGAGGGACACGCGGGGACACAGGGACAGAGAGACACAGTGATGACAGAAGTCCACACAGGCACAGAGGAACACGGTAAGGACAGAGGGACACACAAAGACAGTAAGGACAGACGGACACACGGGGACCCAAGGGACAAAGGGACACAAGGGATCCACAGGGAGCCCAGAGCATCTCCCCCGCCCCCATCCCAGTCACACTCACTGACACAGGACTCCCAGTCCCTCGCAGTGCACTCACCAGCCTGTCCCCCATCCCAGTCCCTCCCAGTCCCATCCCAGTGCATCCCAGTCACACTCACTGACACAGGACTCCCCGTCCCTTGCAGTGCAATCCCCCGCCCCCATCCCAGTCCCTCCCAGTCTCACTCACTGGCAGAGGACCCTCAGTGCCCCCCATCCCAGTCCCTCCCAGTCCCCCCAGTCCCACTCACTGACGGAAGGCCCCCTGAGCACGGCGCACTGGGGGCAGTGGTACAGGTCGATCTCGGCCGCCGCCTCCTCCTCCACCCCCACGCAGCTGTGGGGACACCCCAGTAACTCCCAGTGTCTCCCAGTAACCACCAAGCACCTCCCCAGTAACTCCCAGTGCCTCCCAGTAACACCCATCACACCCCACATCTCTCTTTGGACCTCCCAGTCCCTGCCAGACTTCTCCCCATCCCTCCCAGTACCCCCCAGTCCTTCCCTGCCTCCTTCCCAGTACCCCCCAGAACTTCTCTGAGTACTCCCCAAGTCTCTCTCAGACTCTCCAGTACCCCCAAAACCCTTCCCAGTACACCCAAAGCCCCTTCCAGTACCCCCCAGATGCCTTCCAGTCCCTCCCAGTATCCTGTAGCCCTCCCCAGACTTCTCCCAGTGCCCTCCAGTACCATCCAGACTTCTCCCAGTCCCTTCCAGCACCCTCCAAATGCCTCCCAGTCCCTCCCAGATGCCTCCCAGTTCCCCCACTCTCCCCCAGTACCTCCCACACTTCTCCCACTCCGCCACCAGCCCTGTCCCAGTGCTCCCAGTCCCCCCCCCAGTCCCTCCCAGTCTCACCTGCCATGGAACCAGTCCTGGCAGCCATCGCACTCGATCATGAAGCGGGTCACATCGTAGGGCAGGCGGCACAGGCAGTACACGGGCACCGAGGCCATGGCCGGCCCCCGGGGCGACCCCCGACCCTACGGACCCCCGCGACCCCCCCCGGCCCGGGACATCCGCACGCTGCCCGCCGGACCCCCGAAAATCCCCTCAAAAGATGAAAACCTAAAAAACGCCCTCAAACACAACCCAAAAGCAGCCTCAAAAAAACTCCTCCAAAACAGCCTCACCCCCCCCAAACAGCCTCAGCAAAACCCCCAAAAACAGCCTAAAAAAACACCCCAAAAACACCCCTCAAACAACTCCTTAAAAAAAAAAACTCAAAAAACCCCCTAAATATCGACCCGAAATCCCTCCCAGTCCCCCCCAGTCCTTCCCTGCCTCCTTCCCAGTACCCCCCAGAACTTCTCTGAGTACTCCCCAAGTCTCTCTCAGACTCTCCAGTACCCCCAAAACCCTTCCCAGTACACCCAAAGCCCCTTCCAGTACCCCCCAGATGCCTTCCAGTCCCTCCCAGTATCCTGTAGCCCTCCCCAGACTTCTCCCAGTGCCCTCCAGTACCATCCAGACTTCTCCCAGTCCCTTCCAGCACCCTCCAAATGCCTCCCAGTCCCTCCCAGACCCCAGTCCCTCCCAGTCTCACCTGCCATGGAACCAGTCCTGGCAGCCATCGCACTCGATCATGAAGCGGGTCACATCGTAGGGCAGGCGGCACAGGCAGTACACGGGCACCGAGGCCATGGCCGGCCCCCGGGGCGACCCCCGACCCTACGGACCCCCGCGACCCCCCCCGGCCCGGGACATCCGCACGCTGCCCGCCGGACCCCCGAAAATCCCCTCAAAAGATGAAAACCTAAAAAACGCCCTCAAACACAACCCAAAAGCAGCCTCAAAAAAACTCCTCCAAAACAGCCTCACCCCCCCCAAACAGCCTCAGCAAAACCCCCAAAAACAGCCTAAAAAAACACCCCAAAAACACCCCTCAAACAACTCCTTCAAAAAAAAAAAAACTCAAAAAACCCCCTAAATATCGACCCGAAAAATAACCCCAAAGCCCCCCCCAAATCGCGGTCTGTGGGGGGCCCTGAGGGGACTTGGGGAGCACGACCCCCCAAAAAAACCCTATACGGGCCGGGGGCACCCCAAAAGGGCCTGCGGAGACTTGGGATCCCCCTCAGGTATTGATGAGGGCCTGAGGTCTCCTCCAAAAGGGTGCAGAGATGTTGAGAAACCCCTCCAAGGGTCACCAGGACTCAGGGACCCCCTCCCCGAGGCTTTATACGGCCCAGAGCCCCTCAAAAATGCACCCACAGGGTTCCCCCGCCCCTATAGCGTGTGGGAACCTCCAAAAGCGCCGCAGGGCCCGGGGTTCCCTCACAGCGTTCGTGGGGACCCGACCGCCCCCTCCCCCCGCGCTGTGGGGTCCCCGAGACCTTCCCAAAGACCCTCCGGATCCCCCAAAAGCTTTGGGGCCCCTCAAAAAGCCGCCGACACCCCCTCAAGGCCGGCGGGACCCCCCCGAGGCCTGCGGGATACCGCGAGGCCTGCGCCCCCCCCACCGCCACCTCCCGACTAGGCCGCAGCCCGCCCCGGCAAGGCCCAGCGCTTCTCGCGGCCGCTCTGCCGGCCCCGGGCCCGGTGCTGCCGCCGCCGCCGCGGCCTCTGCGCGCTCCGGGCCGCCCGGGAAAGTTTTATTCAAACGCGGAAACGGGGAGGGAGAGGGCGGGGCCCGGGCGCCATTTTGGCCGCGTCGCGCCGCCATCTTGGGAAGGGCGAGGGCGCCATTTTGGGAAGGACGAAACGCCCCCTTTGGGTGTGCGGGGGCGGGGCCGCCATCTTGGGCGTGGCGCCGCCGTCGCCACCTTGAGTGTGACGGGTCCGATCGCCATCTTGAGTGTGGCGACCCGGCTACCATTTTGGGAGTGGCGCACACCAGCCACGCTTTTATTCCTTAAATTTTAGGAAATTTTTTTTTCGCGCTTTTAACAATTTCCCCACAAAACAACCGCCTTCCCCACCCTCTCGAACCAGAACACCCGAGAATTCATCCCGAAACCTCGCTGGCTTGGTGAAGGGGTGAGGTAGATGAGAGGAAAACACGACAAAATGACCCAAAAATGGGCTGAGGAAGGGGTACGGGCATGAGAGGGGGTTGTTGCACCAGTATGACCAGTATGGGGGGGTGGGTCACCAGTAAAACCAGTACGGCCCTCTCCCCTCTGCTGCGCTCATGTGAGGGGGAATTCCAGGCCTGTGAGGGGCTATGGGTAAAAAATGGGAATTTTGGAGGCTCCAGAGTGTTTTGAGGGGAAAAAAGGGGATTTGGGGAATAACTGAGAAATTGGGGTTCAACCGTTTGTGTTTTGGGGCAAAATGAGACTGTTTAGGGGCTAAAAATTGGGGTCGCTTCATGTGGGGACAAAAAGAGCAGTAAGGCCCAAAAAAGGGGATTTTTGTGTGAAATTAGGAGATTTTGGGGCTGAAAATTGGGGTGATATCTTGAGCGGGAAGGGCAGGTCCTAAAAGAGATTTTTTTGGGGTGAAATTATGTGATTTGGGGAGCAAAAGGTGCGGTAATATTGTGGGAAGAGTAAAAAAAGGAGAGATAGGCCCAAAAAAAGGGTTTGGGGGTGAAACAAGGCAATTTTGGGGCCAGCAAGTGGCATCGCATTCAGGCGGTGTGAAAAAGAGGGGCGGAAAGGCCACAAAAAAGGGAATTTTGGGGTGAAATGAGGTGATTTGGGGGCTATACAATGGGGTCACCTCATGCAGAGGGGGAAAGACCCAAAAAGGGGATTTTGGGGTAAAATGAGGGATTTGGGACAGAAAACGGGTGGGCAGAGCACAAGAAAGAGAGTTTTGGGGTGAAATTAGGGGATTTTGGGCACCAGAAATTTGGGTCACTTTCAAAGGGGAAATGCCCCAAAAAAGGGGGGGGGGGTGGAATAAAATGCAGAGATATTGGGGCTAAAAAGGGTGGATTTAGGGTCAAAATGAGGTGGTTTTGGGGCCAGAAATTGGGGGGGGGGGTTTGAGTATCCTAAAAAGGAGTGAATTGAGTGAAAAGTGGATTCAGCCTATAGGGGCAGCAAAAAATGGGGAATTTTAGGGCAAAATAAGGCAATTTTGGGCCTGGAAATAGGGGTCACACCACAGGACCCAAAAAAAGGGAATTTTTGGGGTGAAATTAGGTCATTTTTGGGCTGGAAATTTGGGGTCACCCAATGGTGGGGGCAGTAAAACAAGGGGGGTTTTGGGGTGAAACAAAGTGATTTGGGGGCTGAAATTAGGGGGTTTTGACCCAAAATTGGGGGGGGGGAGGGTTGGAGGGTTCAGTGAGGGACACCCCCTCACTCGGCCCCCGGGGGGAGGGGGCTGCCCCCCCCACGCAGGGCGGGGTTGGGG